TTGCTCCACTAGAGGCCATGCCACTAGTGAGTCCTAGCTCCGAGCTGGGATTGAGTTCCGGGACTCCTCCCGGTGGAATCCTCGCTCGATGGTGAGTCCGACACCGAGCTAGCCTCGGTTACACAGGAGTGGATTCGGCTATCCCCACGGTAGAGATGGTGGTACCTGCGCATACATTCGTCCTGTATCCTCTCAAGCTCCTGAGCGAGGGGATAGCTTATCGCGTAGCCGGCTCCTCGATAGGCCATGTTGGAACTGAAGCCGAGCACATTCTGGAAGTGGCTCTCCGAGGTGGTGCCGATGTAGTAAGGCTGATGGTGGTCGTACTTGCTCAACACCTTCACCAAGTTGTAGGGGAAAACAACCGTGTCGTCGTCGGCCATGACAAACCAATGCACGTCGGGGAGCCGGAGACGAACCATCTCGGATCTCGAGCACCATGATCGGAGGCAGCGTGGATCGGTCCGTCTCCTCCTCGGCCAGGTCGGTCGTCCATCCAGACGAACCCCCGCATCCTTCCAGGCTCCCACCATGATCGGATGTAGTTCTTGCGGGAGTTCCACGCCTGGGAGCTCGAGGGAGGCCGAAGAGGAGATTGTGGAGCGTGGTCGGCTCTCCCGATGCTGCGGAGCTCAATTTCGCTGGGGATCGTGAGGAATCCGTGAAGAATCGATGGGGCCAAGTGATGATCCAGCAGGCGACTACCACGAACATGATCGCGCATTTCTTGACAAGCGCGGCGTTCGAGGGAGGAGGGCGCGAGGGTTTTTGCATCGCGGCAGCTATGGCGTTCCCTTACTTGGAAGCTGTTGTCGGTAAGAATTTTTGATGGTTCGTGTTCGCGAAGTGTTGTTGTTTTTGTTGTTTTTTTCTCCGCAGGTTTTATGATATTCATGTACTTCTTTGAGAGCTACTTACATTTTCGATAGTACAGGGCTCTGCAGCTCCCGACTTTGCCTCCAACCTTGAAAGGTGTAGTTAGCCAGGAGACGTTTAAGAAGTCTCGCGCCTATACTCTCGAAAAAAGGTTAGCTTCCTTATTTTATTTGCGAATTTATTTCTTGCATGTTACTGATGCTTTCATATTCTTTGTGACAGTCGTTTCCAGGTCATTCATTCGACGTGGTCTATAATCGAGGAGAGTGCTATTTTACTTTTGAAGGCGTTGCCTTGGGTTTGGCTGGTAAGTGTGCTGTTGTATGTCACCGTAATGTCATGTTCTTTTATGATAATTTTTTTGGACATTCAGAAATCGGAAGCTATAGTTGTTTGGCTAGGTTTTGATCCGCAGAACGAAATCGCTCATACGTTGGCGTTTCTTGGACTTACGATGCTATGGTCTCAAGTAAACAAACGTCTGATTTTCGCCTTTTCCTAGTAACTGTGTATTCTGTATGCAGATAAGTGAGATCCCTTTTTCTTTGTATGCAACATTCGTCATTGAGGACCCCAACGAGCTGCCAGGCCGGGAAGTACGCATCTGGATCCAGCGATCGCTGGCCAACTCGTGGAGAGGCACAACACGCCATGTGCTGGAGCACCCTTGTGCTGCGGGGCCCGGGGCGGCACAAGGGCCGCGCGGGCTGGCCGAGGGGTGTGGGGAGGCGCCAGGCCGCACCCACTTAGCCCCAACATAGCCTGGATCCCTCCCACTGCCACAAAAGTGTTGTACCCTACCTCAAGGGTAGGTTGGTGTCACAAATTGATGGGAGTGAGGGATGAACTTTAGCGGATCGTAGTAGCAAGGCCATTCTGCCGCTTACAGTACCCCATCCCTTATTTAAGTCGTTTGTAAAGGATTTATCTCCTTGTTCGTTCAGAATTGCAATCCGAAACCAGTTCACTTCATGTGTTCTCTGGGCCACCCTTACAACATTGGGGAACAACCAGGGAGGTTGATAGTGCCACTTTTAGCACAGATTCTGACTTAAAGGTGTTTGGTTATAATCCCCTACATGGTAGCCACTTCTAGCACAGATTCTGACTTATAGGCGTTCGGTTATAATCCCTTGCATGGTAGCCACTAGCTTTTCAGCCAAGTGCAATGACTAGTGATGCGAATCAATGGTTCCTCTCATACTATTAATGTGGCGCCACGCATTAGTAGAGTAAAACTAACCTGTCTCATGACAGTCTAAACCCAACTCACATTCTTTATTGGTGGGTGAATAATTTAACATTTGGTGAATTTTGCTTCACAATGATAGAAAGAGCTGACATCAAAGGATCAAAAAGCAATGTCACAAGCCAATTATCCCTATGGTAACTTTTCTGAAAATTTCTGAAAATCAAAAGGATTGATAAGCCATGCTTTCTATACTGAAGATCAAAATTAAACAAATTTTTACCATTTTGTTCCACATGAGATTTCTATTCTCATTGAGCTCATCTTAGGACACCTGTGTTATCTTTTAACAGATGTGCTGCCTAGGGAAACTTACCAAGTCCAAACATGGTGGTGCATGGCTGTTCTTAGTTGGTGGATTGATTTGTTTAGTTAATTTCGATAATGAATGAGACCTCAACTTGCTAATTAGCTACATGGAGGCTTGCTTCCATGGCCAGCTTTTTAGAGGGACTTTTCACTTCCAACGGAAGGAAGTTTGAGGCAATAACAGGTTTATGATGCCTTTAGATGTTCTGGGAAGCATGCACATTACACTAATGGACTCAATGAGTGTGTGCTTGGGCTGAAAGGCTTGGGTAATCTTGTGAAAATCCATCATTATGGGGATAGATCATTGCAATTATTGATTTTTAACAAGGAATTCTTAGTAAGTGTGAGTCATGACTACATCCTTGCCCTTTGTACAGACTGCCCATTGCTCTTACCAATTAAATGATCTAGTGAAGTGTTTGGATTGTAGCGATGCCAGCAGTTCACCACTGGTGACAATATAAGAAGTTCATTTAACCTTATCATTTAGAGGAAGGAGAAGTCATAACAAAGTTTCCGTAGGTGAAAGGATCATTGACACATATCTGTAACTTCTGCAGACCGTGAACTTATATTGTACCCCAAGGGACCACACCCAGAAGTGCAGTTGGCTAGTGTTGTGGGCTCACAACCTCCCGCCTGTGGGTGATGCCATAGGTGGGGGTCACAGCTGTGGGTGATGCCATGGTTGGTGGTCCGCAAGGCTGGTCAGGTGGAGGATGCAGCTGTCCTGCATTCGGGTTAATCCAAGACTTTCCACCTGTGGGTGATGCCATGGGTGGGGGTCCCAATTGCAAGCCTTATCAGCAGTGGTTATTCCTAGCATGGGTCAGTTGTGCTGGCTGCTTGGCACTTCTGGATGTGCAACCTTCCCACTTGTGGGTGATGCCATGAGCGGGGGGGTCACAACTGTGGGTGATGTCATGGTTGCCAGGCAGCTTCATCTGCCCAGTGTGCACGGGCAATGGGACTTCTCGCTTGTAGTGATGTGGGTGGGGTCACCGGCTGTGGGTGATGCCATGTTTGTGATTCAGTACCTATATGGTCCTTATTAACCATATAGTTACCAGTACTATGTGGTTGATCACAGTTAACCAACAATTATATAACCAACACCTTAATTATTGTAGTTCCTCTATATTTATGCTAGAATGAAAATCTACATACAACAGCTACTTAATATTTATCACAACAAAATTTTGGTAAAACCTTCACCTTCTTTTATCCTCCTTTCTTTATAAATATATCTAACATATAATGTCATATTTATGCATATTAAAAAAACTATAAATGGGTGCAAGTTTTATTCCTTGTTACAATTTTAACCATTGATCTATTTTAAACATATAAGAACTTAAATATATACATATTCTAAAAAATATTCTTTATGAGTTGAGTGTAACCACTACTTTAAACCACTATTATGATTACTAAACCAAAATTTAGTGAGAAGAGATATTAATTGTCAATTCAAAAAATATATTAGCATATACTAGCATTTACTTAAAATATTCATTAAAGTCCATATTGCCCCAAGAATCTATACTAGCAGAGAGCTGTAGCACTACTCTGCGATATGTCAATACAAAAATGGCCCCTCCATTATGCACATATTGAAGACATGGCTGTTTTTATATCTTGATTAGCTACTTTAAGCAAGGGGAAGTAGAAACCATCCCGAATACAAATTGGTTTCAGTTCTTAGTAGAATCCAAGCAACATCAGCTTCATGTTGGACACCAGCCCCAGATCCCCAAAGAAGCGTCCAGAGCCACTGACATATTTCATATCATAAAAGGAAAGACAGAGAGAAGCAACCTTTTTTGGATGCAATGCTCTGCCAGTCACAGTGTTTCTTCTCGTGGTCTTGCTGACCACTCAATTTGTCAAAATGATGTTGAATGTATATACAATAGTAGCTCCCGCGAATGACGAAGTGCTGAAGATTGTTAGGCGGTGCCCTGGACCAGGTATTTTTTTATTTCACCTTTGACGAGGTAGTTTTCAAGGTTTGATCGATCTTTGACAAAATTGTTATAGTCAGATCAACTCCACTTTTATAGGAGTAGAGGTCTAGCTCACAGGTTACTGTTACCTAGTAAGTGACTCCACGGAATTGTTAAGTTGTGTTTTCTTTTTTTGCAGTCCAATAAGCGACTCTTCTTCACAGGTTATCACCTGTGACTTGAACTCTACAAAGAACTGTACATAGCCTGAAACTCTGAAACCATACTTACCGGCAAACGCGTTTGCACGTGCGTAGTGAATATACCGAATATTCTTTCTTTTAGGGTTCTTAGCCGTGATGAAGTATGAACCTTTGCATGTGCAACATCTGAATGATGAATGCATGATGATCAAATGCAACTACTGAGAGATGGATAGAGAACTAACATGTCTTGCCTTGCTTCCGCTTGATAATCCTTTCCAGCACAGTCCATAGCCGCCAAGAGAGAGGAAACCCTAATAAGCAAAGACAAGCTTCTCGGTAGCAGAGAGAGAAAATCCTAATATACAACCTCCCGCGGAGAAATCTGATCCTGATCGTGAACAGGGGCGAGATTGCGTGCCGGATCATCAACTTTTTTTAGTGATACCGTTTGCAGCAAATTTTTGCGTTTCCACGTTTGCAACATTTGTGCGTTTGCGTGGTAAGTATGCTCTGAACACATTTTCGAGTGTGAGGTTCTTCAAAACCTCCAGAGTCCAGGAAGTTTAGGAGGCCTTAAAGGAAGGAATCATGCTGGTGCCAGTGGTGTGCTTGTGGATGCTGCTGCTGAGCAGGGCAGAAGCTCAATCTCTAACTCCAGGTAGCATTCTCACGCCCGGAAGCAATCGCTTCTGGACGTCCTCCAACGGCATGTTCGGCTTGGGATTCTTCAATTCATCAGCCCCCACCACTGAAATTCATGTCGGGATTGCTTTCGTGGATCAGATGCCTCCGACGCTGGTATGGATGCCCAATAGGACCCAGAGTTTGAGCAGCAACAGCAGCTTGCAAGTCACAGACTCCGGTCTCGTAATCATCGAGTCTGGCGAGACAGTGTGGCGGAGCGGTGCAGCTGGAGCGGTCGTAGCAGAAGCCGAGCTCCTGGATGTGGGAAATTTCGTGTTGAGATCTGCAAGCTCCAACATAGTGTGGCAGAGTTTTGATTTCCCCACGGATACTCTGCTACTGGGACAGAAGCTACTGCCGATTGCTGGCCAGGCTCTTTCATCTTGGAGGACCAAGGCTGATCCAAAGCCAGGGCCGTTCTCGATGGTCATGGACGGGGACATGTCCAAGCCGCGGCTGCTGTACCAAGGTGCAATCGAGTACTGGAGCTGGACCACAGCGAAGTTCAATGAGTTCAGATTCTCGGATGATCCTGGGAACGAGACTACCGGGAACCTTACTGTTGGTTCGATCATCCAGGATTCATACTGCGACGCGCAGCTGGTGAGCACCGAGTTCGCGAATTACAGGAAGAGGCTCACACTCGATCCGGACGGTAACTTTCGGTACTATGTCCGAGCACCGAATTCAACCAAGTGGGGGGTGGTGTGGAGAGCTCTCTTTGATGCCTGCGATGTGTACAGCACCTGCGGTATTAACGGCTTGTGCGACTTCAATTCTCCAGCCAACTCCAAGCCTCCCGCCGGCTGTCCCGTGGCTGATGAAGATCCACACCCGTGCAGTTGTCCACCCGGCTACCGTCCCGTCGACTCCAGTGAGCCGCAGATTGGATGCCAGCCCCAGGAACCGCTCAGGTGCCCATCGAGAGACTTCCAAAAGCTTAACGACACTGTGTTTGCGGAGCTCTTACCTTCAAAAGAAGCCGACTACAGAAACATCAAGGAGTCCGAGTGCGTAATCAACTGCGGGAACCAGCTGAACTGTAGCTCCTGCGCTGCTGCCGTGTATTCCACGGCTTCTTCCGAGTGCTGGCTCGTGGCGTCACCTCTTGTGAACGGCAGCATCTCTTCGAGTTCAGGTAAGCTTGTTTACGTGCGAGTGCCACCCTCGAATTCATCATCTGGTGGGGGTTTGACGCTGGGGGCGAAAGTTGGGATCGGGATAGGCACGCCGAGCTTCTTGTTGGTACTGCTGCTGTGTTCTGTGCTCGGGTCATATGAATACAAGCGGTACAGGAAAGGTCAAGTCCTGAAGCATGGAGTCTCGGAAGGTGTTGGAGGATTACAGAAGTTCAGCTATGACTATCTGAAGTGTGTTACGAAGGACTTTGCGAATGTGTTGGGACAAGGTGGCTATGGCGCTGTCTACCTCGGGGTGTTACCGGACGATACAAGAGTAGCGGTCAAGCTCCTGAATGAAGGTTTTCCACAAGAATTCGATTCAGGCTCAAACGAGGACAAGAGTTTCTTGGCAGAGGTGGCAACTCTCGCGAACATACGCCACTCAAACGTGGTACACTTGCTGGGCTTCTGTCTGGAGGCTCCCAAGCATCTACTGGTGTATGAGTATTTGGAGAATAAGTCGCTGGACAAGGTCCTCTTCGAGCCGACCACACCGCTCACGAAGTGGAAGACCAGGATGCAAATTCTCATAGGTGCAGCCCGAGGGATCGAGTACTTCCATAGTTACAGCGGTGACAGGAGAGTTGTTCACCGGGACATCAAGCCGGCCAACGTGCTCCTGACTGCCGACTTCCACGCCAAGGTTGCGGACTTCGGGCTGGCCAAGATCATGGACACTGCGACTCATACCACCAACTTCACTATGCCTGGGACAGTCGGCTACCGGGCTCCGGAATGCACCATCATCGGCGACGCCATCACCGTTCAGGCCGACGTCTTCAGCTTTGGAGTCGTGTGCATAGAAGTTGTATCCGGGAGGCGGCTCGTGTACGTGGAACAACAAGGACGGACTCGGGTCCTGCTCTTCAGGAGGGCTCTGGAGCTCATGCTGCAGGAGGAGTACATGAAGCTGGTCGACGAGAGGCTTGCAGAGGACGGGATCGATGAGGACGAGGTGCGGAAGGTGGTGAGAGTTGCCGGCTGGTGCTTGCAGGAGGATCCCAAGCAGAGGCCCACTATGGACGCCGTGGTAGCACTGCTGAACGACGATACCAAGGCCGTTGAAATGCCACCGTTGGAAGGCAGCCTGCCGGCCTACGTGTTCAGGAACTTTGAGAGCGAGGATGAAGTTTCGGTTGCAAGGTTGACCGGCGACACCCTTTCCGTCGGCTCAAGCTTGGCTCGTGAATGAAAATGATTGTCTTGTCAAGTGTCAAGTCCGACCAAATTGAATTCAGCTCAAGGCATGAACTTGGTGTACAACTGCATCACACTGCACAACGGCAATCAAAGTGTCAATCATGACCTCGCCACCCTGTGACTTACCTCGTTAACAAGGTTTTGCCTTTCATCTTCCTCCTCCTTCTCCGGTCTCTGGTGGAGGGACAGGTGCTCCATTTGCATCATCTGGTCGGGATAGTCAAGCCTTGAACTCAACAAACTGAGTTTGGCGCCCGCTTCTTTGAATGTTTTCTGGATAGGCAGAATTTTCTTGGAATCCAGGTCCATATAGAGGCATTCCCGGCATGGGCGGAATGATGGTTGCCGCAGCCAAGTGGTCAGCCGAGTACAGGTCCTGGTTGAGTGGTATAAACGGCCTCTGTTCCTCGATATGGTGGTGGTGATCCCGATATCGGGGCAGACAAGACGACAACCTGTATTGTTGCCGTGTAGACTCTTCGTGAGGTCTCCTCGCATATTGATGTTCCACTGGATTTCCCGCATATGCTCTGTGTGCTGAAGTTAGAGGTTGCTGGTGAGGACCCGGATGTCTTCCATCACGATAAGCCACACGTGGTGAGGATCCAATCTGGTAAGTCGCTGCTGCATGTCCACTTATACCACCACCATCCACACGAGAGGAGCTCCTTTGATATATATGAGCCGGATCATAATCCTCAGGAAGCTGAAGATGATGCTGCTGAATGTACTCATGTGTCGGATATGTGGCTCCATCGTCTGGAATCTGGTGGCGATGGTGCTGAGGGAATTGGTCACCACCGGTTCTGTACACGGGCTCCTTGTGGTACACCATCGGTTGTGCAGAAGGCTGTTGATGTGATAAAATATGAAAACTACCGTCCGAAATTGCATATTCTTGTCTTCTGCACTCCTGGCTAGCGTCCAGTGGGTGCTGACGTACTGGTAGAGCATGCTCCTGTAACACGAATCTCGGTTGGGGCTCGTGAGTTAACAAATCCTGAGGACCATCATCGTGTTGATCCTGCAGTCTTGACAATTTCCCATGTGAGCCAACTCGTGGAATCTTGCTTTCAGCACCATATCCTCGGACCATTCTGTCGAGGTCATGACTTGGGGGGTAAGACTTCAGGTCGTAGATTCCCGTAGTAGTGATCCAGATCAGAGTAACTGCTAAAGTCTTGATCAGCTGGTATCTCCCATTACCAACAAGTGACCAGTACCATTTGAAAATTTTTCTCATCTTAACTAATTGTAGTTTTTGTGGCAAACAAGTAAATAAACACAGTTAAATATTTTCTAGGGTTCTGAGACGAAGAGAAGAAAATGAGGTGTAAGAAATTATTTCACATTAGTACAGGGTAACTTCAATTTTATTTCTGATTACAGTCTTCAACTTTGATGTTGTAATTCAAGAATGGAAGGCAGCTATAAATATTTACAGTAGGTGATGTTTATGAACTTCCTTGGATTTGGTAACTTAATTCTTGACAAAAGGATCAAGTTGGTGATCCATTTTGTTTTTATGGTACAAAAAAAAAGTTAGACACTGAAGTGACGCCTAGGAAACACCATCGCTACGGCATTTTACCTCACCGCGTAAGACAAACGTTCTCCTCGTCAGTCACTGTCGTTCTTGGCAAACTCCTCTTGCACCCACAAGAGCCTTCGGAACTCCACCTCCAGCGTCGGCAGGGTCTCCTCTGAAGTGCAAGTCCTGTGAATGATCGAGACCTGGCACACGTCCCATAGCTCGATGATCTGCATTCGTTGCTTCTTAAACTGTAGAGGGAGAATGCAAGGAGTCATCTCTCCATACCGCCAGTGTTGTTGGATTCCAGCTCCAGCACCTACAATCCACAGTCAGATATCGCATTTCCAAAAGTTTCATAGTTACCTGGCAGACGAAATGCCGCCTTTGATATTGAGCTTGTCTACCCGCTCTTTGAGCTCGGTGACATACGCCCGAATGCTCTTGATGTTGTCCGCGACAGAAGTCTTTCTGCATCTTTGGTCCAGAGTTGCTGTCCTCCTCGACTTAATATCATGCAAAACGTGATGAATCGAGAAAGAATATTTTCGTATTTCATATTGTCGTACTTTGGGACCGCGTAGGCTACAGGGTGTTGCCACGGTCCTCAGCCACTTACTTTCTTTGTTGAGGTGCTAGCCGCCGATTCCAGCGGCTGGCGGGAAATTTTTGTGTGCCTGGAGAAGCGTTCTGCTCGACTCAATGCAATGCTTCTTAAAGCTTGATCGCGGCTAGAGAAGTCCTCCAGCAGCGTTCCCCCAGTGAGCGGAAGGAGAGGATGAGCGCTCCATAGTCGGCCGGGCGTTGAGGACATAGGCGATTGGACAAAGGAGATATTTGACACCATCTTCAGCGAGCTTGCAACTTGCCTGTGATGGGAGCTGAAGAAGCACGAAACCTTGGGCAGCGCTAGGAATCGAGTGATCGCAGGAAACACTGGAGCCGATTTGTGAAGGACACACCAGAATATTCTGTTCAGCCAGTTGCATTTATTGCATTCAAGAAGAGCAAGAAGCATTTCAAATACTTTCGCAATCTATGGCAGTCATGTTTGTTTTGTTCATGACCATGGTCGCAGCAGCAGCGCTATGGAAATTTTGTGTATCCGCAAGAGAGAAGAGAGGGCACGATTTCTAGTGTCGCTCCACCCCAGCTCCACCCGGTGAAAGATGCACACAGGTACTTGTACTACTCGGTGGAATTCCCCTTCCGCTGGCAAAAGGTGCTCGAATTTGGCACCATCCGCACGCTCCCTGGGATCACAAATCTGCTCTTCAGGACAAGAGGTCCCCAGAAGCGCGCTGCCACTGAGACCAACATTCTGGTGAGCGATCCACCACCACGTCGACCGCGATCGCGGCTCGTACGCGGTGAGGAGATTGAATGGAATCCACAACAAATTCCAGATCCCAAACGACCAATTCGCCTACGTCCTCTGCCTCAACGTGATCACGTGATTTCCCCGAGAGGTTTGGATTCCGCAAGTGGACTGACAACGAGAAGGAGGCCGACAAGAGCACGCCGCGATGGCGATAGCCGCAGCAGCATCAGAAATCTAGCCCCCGAGAGCGCGATCGCCATTGGAATCACCGAACGGCACCGAACGGAGCTGTCCGACCGTTCGGCCGACCGTTCGGCCGACCGCGTTCGGCGGCGGTCGGGATCCCGCCGAACGCGGTCGGGACCAACATTGCCGGAGCATCGTCCAGGATCTCAAGCATCTGGTGCTGGACGCTTTTCCTCGCCAATTGCAGCCGCTGGTGGAAACTGGGGATCTGCGCGCTCATCGATCCCACAATCAGGAGCGCTGTTGGATTGGAAAGCCCCCCCGTGATCGTGAACTTGGAGTGGGTGCGTTCATGCTGCTGGCCGGGAGCTGTGTCCGCAAGCTGGCGGAGCTGGGACACTGAAATCAGGCAAGCTTGGACGGTCCTTCCCGGCAAATGCACGCATAGAAATCGTAAGTTCAAATCTCGGTAGGACCTTTCTCATTCAGTAATTCTTTGGTTTAGTGTTTTTGTTTCTGGTCACAAATGCTTGACCACTTAAAAAAAGTCTTGATGTCAACGTCAACATCTTGAGGTCAGTCAATGCCGTATACTTCAAGCCTACTTCTCTATTGTTGCTCTGGCGTTATGTTGGTTTCTTTTGACGATGCTTGACCACCACTGATGAACACAATGTGACCACTCGTGAAAATAAAAAACGTGTTGTAACATTGAAAGTTCTTCAGCTTTAGATAGTGACAGGTGATGCTCCACAAGCAACTTGAAAAGCATTCGTCTACACACATTTAATATCTGTAGAAGGGTGCTCTAGAATCTTTGAGCTACTTGGGGCCGGACCATAGCTGAACGATGATCTTCTTGCTAATCTTGCTGCAGCTGCTACAACCAGCATATTGTCTCTTGGATGGTGATAACCAGGCTCTTCTCGACTTCAAGCAAGCCTTGAACAACTCAAGTGTCTTGCGTGACTGGAACGCGAGCATTAACATGTGTAGTTGGCCAGGTATCGTTTGTAATTCAGCTCACACACACGTTGCTTCCATCCAGCTTGCTGCCATGAACTTGGAAGGAATCCTGTGCTCAGCTGTTGGGCGTCTGCATCAACTTGAAAGCCTCAATTTATCAACCAACTGCTTGGTGGGAAAGATTCCAGACGAGTTGGCAAATTGTTCCCAGCTGGAGCTATTGGATCTGCAAGGAAATTCTTTCCAAGGCAGAATTCCAGCCTCTCTAGGACGCTTTGAAGTTCGGCGAGGACTGAACTTCAACATTGGAAGAAACTCATTGCAATTAAATCCCAACATAGATGCGGTTAGAAAGGTTTTAAGTTTACAACTCCTCGACTTGAGCAGGAGTGATCTGCATGGAAACATTTCAACGTACGTTTGAAACTGGACCAATTTGATCTTCCTGTCACTAGCCAAAAACAAGTTAGGAGGCGAGATACCAGGCTGCTTTATAGATCAACTTAAAAGTCTTCGTGTTCTTGATCTATCCAACAACGGGCTGAGTGGGAAACTCCCTAGCAGACTAGACCAGCTCACTGGCTTTATGACAGCTGTATCTTCAGATGCAGGGAAAATTCCGATCAAGTTTGAGCTGGAAAGAAGTGGAGCATCACAAGATTTCAGCTTCCTCAGCCTGGCGGGAAACTTGTTACAAGGAGAGATCCCACAACAACTGGGAAATTTAACAGGCCTTAAGTACTTAAATCTCTCAAGGAACAGATTTGATGGGGAAATCCCTGTACGGATTGTCAAGCTTGATGCCCTGCAATCCTTGGACCTCTCAGAAAACAACTTCACGGGAGAACTGCCATGGAACTTGGGTACTCTATCACTTGGAATTTTGGATGTTTCTTACAACAACCTTAGTGGACTGATTCCTGGCAACTTAAACACCAGATTTCCAGATGCGTTTCCACGGGTGGATTTTCTACAGTGGTGCTGGCAGTGGGTTTTGTGCAGGACTTTCGTTGGTGCTTTTGACAAATTGCTGGGAGAGAATCAACCGAAGGGTGGCGAAAGTAGACTGGCTACAGATTGTTGCTCAGAACATAATGATTTTAATTTAATTTGGCAATTAGGGTATATTAGGCGTATAGAGGAGCCAGGCAAGGTTGGAAGCCCAAGGATTACTCCCTTGCAAACAATGTTATCAAAGCCCGTCTATAGGTGAGTGATAGGTGTTCACTCATAGCTGACGCTTCGGTTCATATGCTTGCCTTGTCAACCAAGCATTATATGGAGACATTTTTATATGTGAACTTATTGCAGTAAGTCTTACATACAATAGGCTAGAATCCTCCTCTATCTATACAAAAATCTTCTTTCCTCACAAGTTTAGCATTGTGGAGATCGAATTCCAGCCGAAGTGGAACGGCTTTTGGCTGGAGGGCGGAGCGAAGTTCAGGGCAAACATCTCCTTGGAGGCGCTGCCTGGCTCCCAAAATCCCACGATCATGGCCACCACCTCGGCGCTGTCCTGGATGTGCTGCATGTCGCGAGCATCCGTCCATAACTTCTCGATCAGCTGGAGCTTGCGCTGCTTGGACTCGAGGGGTATCTCCCATTTCACCAGCAGCTCGTCCTTCATCTCGGGTGGCATCCGCCGCATCCGCTTCGCGAGCATCTCTCGTTCTCGTCGCAACGCCTTGACACTGCAAAGACAAAATGGAAACAAAAGTGAGCCCTTGGAAACACCATCGCTAAAGCTTGTCTACCTCGCAGCGTAGGACGAAATGTTGTCCTCGTCAGTCACACCCGGCCCCTGATTCTGGTCGTTCTTGGCAAACTGCTCTTGCAGCCACAGGAGCCTCCGGAACTCCACCTCCATGTACATGGCGTCGGCAGGGTCTCCTCTGAAGAGCAAGTAGAACTGTGTCCTGTGAATGATCGAGACCTGGCACACGTCCCATAGCTCGATGATCTGCATTCGTTGCTTCTCGAACTGTAGCCTCCATCCCGAGGGAGAATGCAAGGAAGGAGTCATCTCTCCATACTCGTTCTCTCCGCCAGTGTTGTTGGATTCCAGCTCCAGTACCTACAAGCCAGAGTCACATATATTGCATTTCCAAAAGTTTGCTAGTTACCTGGCAGACGAGAAGCTGCTTTTGATATTGTAGCTTGGCCACCCGCTCTTTGAGCTCGGTGACATACGCCCGGATGCTCTTGATGTTGTCCTCGGCAGCAGTTTTAAACATGTTCTGCATCTTCCGGATGTCCACAGAGTTGCTTCTCCGGTGTCCTCCGGATGGTGGCGTGTTCTCTGAGGAGCGAGGAGGATTGTTCTCGTTGTTCTCTTGGAGAGCGCTCCTGGTTGTCTTGGGTGAGCACGGTGGACTGTTGGCAAAAAGCTGTCTGCTACTGCTGGTGGTGCTGCCCATAGTGGAAGGTAGCAGCTTCCTTCTCCGGGTTGGAGTCTTTAGCTTTGGCGACGAAACATCGGTGCTGACAGAGGTTTGAACCTCGATCTCGTTCTCGTCCTTCCGGTGTTGTACGTGCAGGTTCTTGATCTCTTCTTGGAGCTTCGTGATCGTTTGTACCGCATCCTGGTTCATATCTACCTGAGCCAGACGCAGGCATTCGACTTCCTTCTGCAGGGCCTCCAGCGCTCTACTTGCGTCCTCTCCAAGCTCGTCTTGTAGCTTTTCTAGCTTTCGAATTTCTTGTATAAGCATGAAAGGAGCCTTCGAGGGGCAGCCTAGCTCATCCACCAGCAACTGCTTTTTGGTCGGAGTGCATAACTCCTAAAGCGAAAACGCTCATGTGAGATACTGACTAAGTCAGAAAACACTCTATTATCGTACCTTTGGATCTCTCTGCTCGTCTCCCATCTTTGCAAGAACTTCATTGAGCTGTGTCTTGGCAGCATCCCTTTGACGAATGAGCTCCTTCATTTCGGATTCCATCTGCAGGACGATGTTAGATGGGAAATTGCAACGACGAAGGACAGATTGCCAACCTTTTGAATTTGCTGCTCCTTCTGATGTAGCAAAGCGTCGGAAGACAATGCAGCCTCTGGAATTCGCAGCTCAGCTTCAAGCCTTGCAACTTCTTTCTGCAGCTGTTTTACAAGGTCCTTGTCCGAAACAACCTGAAACAAAATAATTACTCGTGAATCAAATCATTATACAGACTAGGATGACTTACCAGATTCACATGAGCATTATTTGTAACTTCCTTCGCGCGCGTGGCGAATGCAAGCGTGTTACGCGACTGTTCAACATGGGCCCGCGCGGGACTCATCGTGCATATGATCGCTGTGCGAGCATTTCCGCCGAGAGATAATTGGAGAATCCTGGTCAGCTTCGAATCCCGATAAGGAATATGACCACTTTTAGTTCGATTGCTCCCACTGCAAAAGATAATTATGAGCGAAAACCGTCGAGCGGCCAAAGTACCTGAGTTTCCGAATGACTGTACTTAAAGTGAGCAAGCTACGATTGATATGGCATCCTTCCTTCAACCGAGTTCCGTCCGAGAGTGTTTGAGACGCACGTTCACTACCTGCGAGATCTACAAAATTCTGTCCGCATAAAAGTCAATCAGTAAATGACGAAGCAATCAGTACAAAATGTTACCAGCGTTGCAACCATGCTATTGACAGTTCCATTTCCGTTTCCATTTTCGCGAGGAATACTTTCCACAGTCTGTTAAAACTCAACCTTAATCCTGAGAATTTAGATTTGAAGGTTCGCGTACCAGCCTTATAATCTGATGGGATCTCGAGCTGGCATCGTTGAGCATCGTCTCCCCAACTTGTCTTTGAGCTAACGGCATTCTTCATTAGAAAAAAGTACTATGGCAAAAAGAGCAAAAGAACAAACCTTCACAAATAGACAGGACCTGCCGTAAATGCTTGCAGTCACGAACAATTGTGTCTGTAAGTTTCTCGACGATGGTTCCCCGCTGCAAGGGAAAAGCAATGTAAGCTGTAGCGTTCAAACCTTCTGTACCTCAGGATCGTCTAGAAGTCGCAACGCTCCAGTATCTGGGTTAAGAAGATCACGAACAACCTCGTTGTAGATCTCCAGCCCGGCTATCTTAAGAATGTACTCTCTTTGATGGTTCTGTAAAGCCACTGTGATTCAAAAACTCGATGTGCCTGACCAGCAAACCTTTTCTATAGCGTCGTAAATGTCGACTATAGCATTCTCAATCACACCCCTCATCGTAAACGTTTTTCCACTACTGGTTTGTCCATAAGCAAAGATGGTCGCTGGGAAGGAGAAAAAAAACCAACCATGACTTAAAGAATTCCAACAATGGAGGCTTCCAACACTCACAATTTATCCCGCTTAGAGCAGAGAGCGCTACATCCTTGGCCCCTTCTTCGTACACAACTTTCGTGGAGGATTCGGGCCCAAAAACGCGATCTGCAAGAAAACACGGATGCCAATCTTGAGAGATGCGGGAGATTCGCTCACTTACCAAAAGAGTAGCGCGCAGGATAAGGAGATCGATCCGGCTGCTGCTTATAAGACACAGTATGATCATCTGGACACTCCCAATCTGCGGTGTCCCGCTGAGCGATTTCCCGAGAACTCATCGGCCTCACCCTGACTGTGACAAAAATCTTCTCCTCCTTGGATCTACATTTCCCCGGAGTGGAGAGAATTCCTATTCCTCCTGCCTTTTCGCCACTCCGTGGAGTCAGCGCATTCTTCTCTCCCATAGCTACCATTGCCGCAGCGAGAGCCGCCATAGCCGCGCTCGCTCGCTCGCTCTCTAGGGTAAAAAATTCCGAATGTTTGCCCAACGGCTACATTGGCGAACAAAGGACCCAGGTTCGATTCCTCTCCCCATCTGGCATTTTCCAACCCGCCAAAAACCATTGCTCTTGCCGGTGGTATATTTTAGGGCTCTTACGATCCATTCGCTCGCCAGAGGATGGGATTCATGGCGCAGATCGTGGCGCTGCTGCTGCTGATCGATGCCGCAGTGGCAGCAGCACGGCTGTTGCAGTTTAATTCTCACGGCGCCTTCAAGATCTTGCAGGTAGAGGTAGATTCTTGTGGAACCGAGGCGATCGAAAAAGTTTCCAGGTTGCTGACATGCATTTCGCGAATGGAGCAACGACCAAATGCTTGGATGTTCTCCCGGAGCAGTACGCAGGGTGCTCGGATCTCAACACGACGAGCTTCGTCAAGAGGATGATCGACGCGGAGAAGCCAGATCTCATCGTCTTTACAGGTATTCCCTCTCGATTTCCTTTTGTATGAGATCGCCATGGAATGCTTCTTTCTTGTCTCGTACAACAGGTGACAACATATACGCATCTGACTGCTCCGATCCGGCCGAGTCTCTCGACGCCGCGTTTGCGCCAGCCGTCGAGGCAAAACTTCCCTGGGCAGCTGTTCTAGGCAACCATGATCAAGAATCGTCTCTCAAGCGCTCCGGAGTCATGGATCACATCGTCCAGATGAACTACACGCTCGCACAGGTGAATCCTGCCGGGGTCGCCACCATTGACGGATTTGGGAACTACAATCTCGAAGTTCTCGCTCCTGGCCAAGACTCGGAACAGGAGAGCCTTCTCAACTTGTATTTCGTGGACAGTGGAGACTATTCCACTGATCCAAGCATTCCAGGCTATGGTTGGGTCATGCCCAGTCAGCAAGCGTGGCTGAGAAACCTCTCGTCGTCTCTCCAGGTCTGCGAACTTGCTGTCAGCACTTGAGACTCTTACTAATACTTCTTTCGTCTTTCTCCTTTCGCAGGGGAGTGCCAACCAAAGCCGTCCAGCGCTAGTGTTCTTTCACATTCCTCTCCCAGAAGTGAACAACTTCACGTCCTCTCAGATCGTGGGAGTGAAGCAGGAGATGGTGGCGTCGCCAACGTTCAACTCTGGTTTCTTCCAGACGCTTGTGGAGATGGGAGACGTGAAAGCAGCTTTCACTGGTCACGACCACGTCAATGACTTTTGCGGCGAGCTGCAACACATACAACTCTGCTACGGCGGCGGCTTTGGCTACCACGCTTATGGCAAAGCGGGATGGTCTCGGAGGGCCAGAGTGATCGAGGCTTCGCTGAGCGATGGCGGAGGAGGAGTGGAAAAGATTATGACTTGGAAACGTTTAGACGACGAGATGCTGAGCACCACCGACAAACAAGAACTGTGGCGACGAAGGTACGAAGATCATACGATTCTCGTCGAGAGTATAGCTACAGAAGGTGTTGAATTTCCCAGATACGATCCTTCGTTCTCGAGCTCGAATCAAGTCTGGTGACCGTACGTGCGGAAAATAAAATAGCTTGGAGCTATTCCGAAGTTGCGACGTGTCGAGAGGGAGGTATGTGGCACCACTGTGCCAAGCCACGCGAGGCAGCTGGACCTCGCCTTACAAAAGCCACTTCTCGGAGGTTTGCGTTCCAATTGCATTTGGTTGTTGATCGATAAATCTCATTCGACTTCTCAGTTGTTTTGATCGATTGCTAGAGAGATAGATAGCGATGTCGCAGCTGGTTGGCAAGGCGAAGAACTTCGTAGCGGACAAAGTGGCTCATATGGAGAAGCCCGAGGCAGATCTCACTTGGGTGTCGGTGAAGGACGTGAGCCGATCCTCGGTTGTGCTGGAGAGCGATGTCATCATCACCAATCCTTACGACCACGATCTTCCAGTCTGCGAGATCTCCTACGCCTTGTTCAGCAACAACAGGTAAACTTCGCTCTCTCTCTTTTGTGTTTCTGTAAGATCGATCTTATGGCTTTGTCTTCGATCCACAGGGAGATTGTCAGCGGCAAAATCCCCGACCCCGGATCCGTCAAGGCCAATGACAAGACCGCGATGAAGATCCCGGCTAAAGTTCCATACAATGTGCTCTTCACCATCGTCAAGGACGTGGGAACCGACTGGGACCTCGACTATGAGATGAGAGTGGGATTGACCGTCGACATTCCCATCCTCGGCAACTTCACAATACCACTCTCCAAGAAGGGATCCTTCAAGCTCCCCCTCCTCCCCTTCTAAGCTCTCGGCTCTCTAGCTGGAATATTCAAGGATAAAAGGCTCTTTAGGATAAAACTTAATCAAGGCTATTTCTATATGACATTACCGTGTGGAAGGGCATCTCCGTTGTCTCTTGTGTTCTCCATGGATCTTGGGCGATGCCTCGCGTTTGCGATCTTCTTCTCGAGTTTGGCGGCTGCGCGATTGATTCCAGAGAAAGAAGCAGTGCGCAGTGATCCTCCCACGGCATACGAGGAGCTGGAATCGTTTGGATTCCCCCCAGGATTGCTGCCACACACTGTAGTGAACTACACTCTCAATTCCAATGGCCGATTCAGCCTGGCGCTCAACAGGACGTGCTCGGCGATGCTCCAGGGCACCTATCTCGTCACCTACAACTCCCAGATCTCCGGGACCGTGAGCCCACGCTACATCAAATCGCTGCGCGGGGTGAGCGTCCGCGCCTTCTTCATCGACTGGAGCATCTCGGGCATCCGCGTGAACCACCAAGATCTTGTTTTCGAGGTGGGTTTCGCCAGCGCCAAGTTCCCCATCTCCAATTTCGATGAGGCGCCGGAATGCGAGAAAGAATCGATCGAAGTTCCGCCATCGTCGTCGTCCTCCTCGCGAGCCAGCGCTTAGAAAGATTTGCCCTAATTTCTTCGTTCGTCCCAGGGTTCGAATCCCTGCCCTGTCACAGATATAAGATCAAAGCATTTTTCTAGGGTTTATGGTTTCCAAGGCTACAGAGGAATGCTTCGCGCGGCTCCTCCGATCGTGCAACACGCCCAAGCTCCTGCCCGAGGGCAAGAGGATCCACGCCCGGATCGTCGAATCCGGCGGACCCACGCGCTTCCTCGGCAATCTCCTCGTCCAGATGTATGGCAAATGCGGCAGCCTCGACGACGCGCGCGCGGCATTTCACTCCATCCCAGGCCCCAACATCTTCTCCTGGAGCATCATGCTCGGCGCCAGCATCCACAACAGGGATCTGGGCGGCGCGCGGCGGCTGTTCGAGATCGAGTCCTCGTACGAGTCCGAACCCGAATCCGAAGTCGGACACGAAATGCGGTCTGAGATCGAGCCAGAGACTAAGTCCAAATACTAATACGGGTCAAGGGGTGAAAGCCCAAACTGTGCGTCTCCCAGGGGGGGGGGCTGCAGGGGGTTCCAAAAGTATAGTAGGGATAGTGAGGTCCAGGAACCAGTTTTGAAGGGACTTTCCAGTTGGGCTTCCAAACCAACTTGAGGTTGAGACTGGGACCGAGGGGCATTGGGTGGGAGTGAGCATGGACTTCGCAGATGCCGAGGCCATGTTTGCGAGGATGCCCGCGAGGACGATCGTGCACTGCAGCTCCATGCTCTCGGTATATGCCCGGAAAGGGCATTTGCGGAAGATGGAGAAACTCTACGAGCAAATGCCCGAGTGGGATGCGATGTCGCAAGCGTTGTTGGTATGTCGCTACGCGCAGCTGGGCTACGTTGACAAGGCGAAGGAGATGTTCGAGGCAATGGAAGAGAAGGACGTGGTTGCTGCAAATGCGATTATCACAGCACTTTCCCGAAAGGGGGATTTGGATCACGCGAGAGAGGTGTTTGACGCGATGGCGGAGGAGGATCGCACGGAGGTGTCGTGGCTCGCGATGATCCAGGGCTACGCTCGCCACGGCGCACTGCGCAAGGCGGCGGAGCTTCTCAAGTCGATGCCGCGGCCACACAAGGGCGCGGCGGCTCACAACGCGCTCATCACAGCATTTGCCGAGAAGGGGCATCTTGTGGGCGCCAAGAAGACATTCGATTCCATGGCGGCGGACGAGCAGGACGTGGTGTCGTGGACGGCCATGATGGCGGCGTACGCCCAGAGCGGACGGCTGGATGAGGCCGTGGCGGTGTTCGAGGATATGCCATGGCGGGACGTGGCGGCGTGGAACGCAGCGGTGGCGGCGCTGGCGCACTGCGGGCGAGGGAAGGAATCGGTGGAGAAGTTCCAGCGGATGATCCAGGAGGGAGTGGCGGCGGACGAGATCTCCTTCGTCAGCGTGCTCACGGGATGCAGCCGCGAGGGATTGCTGGCCAGTGGGCGAGAGATCTTCACGTCCATGAGCGCCGATTTCGCGATCCAGCCCGGGAGGGATCACTACGGGTGCATGGTGGATCTTCTTGGGCGATCGGGGGAGCTCGCGGACGCGGAAGATCTCATGGGATCGATGCCCTTCGTCCCCGAGATCGTGACATGGATGGCGCTGCTGGGCGCTTGCAAGAATCATCGCAGCGAAGAGATTGGCGCGCGGATCGCTCACCGGATCATCGAGCTGGACGCCGCGAATCCCACCACGTACGTGCTGCTCGCGGGGCTCTACGCGTCGATCGGCAAGCGCGAGAAGGCCGAGGCTGTGAGAGAAGAGATGAGGAAGAACAAGAAGGGTAGCAGCGCCACCGCCGTGGCTGTCATCGAGATCGATGGGAAGCAGCATCGATTGGTTGCTGGGGAGTGGCGATCGCATCCTCGCAGCGGCGAGATCGAGGCGGAATTGGAGCGGCTGGAGAGATCGATCCAGGAGGCCGGATACAAGCCCGATGATTTGCAGCTGGGCGAAGAAGAGGGCGTCGCATCTTCGCATCACAGTGAGAGGCTCGCGATCGCGCTGGGGATGATCGCGACGCCCAGCGCCACGACGTTGCGGATCGTCAAGAATGTGCGCGTCTGCGCTGATTGCCACGCCGCCGCGAAGATCATCGCGAGGATCTCTGGCAGGAAGATCGTGGTTAGGGATTCTAGCCGGTTCCACTACTTCGACAAGGGGCAATGCTCGTGCCAGGATTATTGGTGACAAGAACCCTCCCGAGGAACCTTAAAAGCAAGCGAGAGGCTAGTCGGTCGATCGATCGATTCGGTTCTTGGCGCAGATTGGATCAATTCACTCGGCGTCAGTTCTTGCGGATCTGGCCGCTGGTACCCGTGCATCTTCACCATGCTTTGGACGAAATCCGCGTCTTGATCGTCGCGGTAGCTGTCTTGTCGCACAGTTTCACGATCCACAACAGAGCCACTAGACTTTGAGTACAATAGTATCCAGATAATGGATCTCGAAAGAGCGATGCGCGCAGCCTCTTAGACACAAGCCCCACCTCGAAGTAGATGTAGTCGCGATTGGATTCAGCCACCCGTCACTCCCAGCCGCTCCTTGGCTTGGATCCCCGATAGATTCTAGATCTTGCCATAGCCCAGCTTCTCAGAGATGGGCCACACCAGATTCCGAAGCTGTGGTAGCATTTATGCTGGAGATGGACGATTGTTGTCGACCAGATTGGAGAAGACTGCCGGGGAGGCCATGATCTTCCGCTCTGGCAGAATCGCGTCAGCGACGAGTCAGCGAAGAGCGCAACATCTCTCAGCTGGGCGCGATTCGGTTAAGGGGGGAGGAAGAGCTCCAGGAGCGATGCTCTCGCACAACAAGACTTTGGTAGCAGGGTTGGTAGAGGCGGACTTTCGTCAGTAGCAATGTTCTAGATTTACATCTCAATCAAATGTATTTTTATTAAACATAAATAGTATGACGTGGCACGACCTATAACCGTTATATGGATTAGGGTTTAGAAAGCTGAAAATGGCTGCCCAAGCTGCCAATGTTTTGTCTCCCAAGGAAATCCATTTGATCAGGGAGCATCTGTCCTCATCAAAAGTGGTTGAAGAGGACATAGTCTACATGGAAGTGACAAACAAGTTGGAGGCACTGTTGGCAATTAAAAGTGGAGTTTCAAGCTAGTTTTTACTTGTTTCCATGTAACTATACACTTTTGATTGATAAACATGTATGTGCATTCCCATGTCCTAATGGACTAATACAAAAATTAGGCATGCCACCTCTTAACAAGCTACTTTATGTGATTCTTTTATGTCTCAACTAGACTTAGTCTTGAAGTAAAAGTGATCATGGTCATCTATTGCAGATCAAGTTGATATCCAAATCTCCCCCTTGAGCTAAACATAGAATAGAGTTGGGGAGGCACCACTGCTAATGGATCCCATTGTCAACCACCTTGTTGAAACACATGAGCCATTTATTCCTCCACTCATCTAGTTGACTGGGTTTTACTTGCTCTTTCACAATGGTGTAGTGGAGGCGCACAGTTGCAACACCATGAGGCCACAATGGCAAATAAATGTCCATTGAAGTGATAATAGTTATATACTTCCTAGAGTGCTTATATTTATGTTGCTTTCCATATTGCCCAATGCCTCCCAAACTGACATGCCAACTTTAGTTTTTGTCACATCCCACCAAATTTGCATTCCCCAACCATGTCATCCTCAACATTAAATGCATCTCCAAAGTGGACTTGTAGCCAGACCTCTTGTTCTTTCAAACCAATGAAGAATATCCTCACTCTTAGCTTCAAACTCTAGAATATCCTTGCCATTTTGAGAATTTGTCTCTATACCTCTTTTGCCATATCAGAATCCCAAAGTATGTATCACAATATTTTTATCTTTCTACATTTTTGCACTATCAATATATTTCATCATGAAAATGTTGTCCCATTAGTTACCCATTATTCACCACTAACTTGTAAACAACCAAAAAGAATAATTTGAAAAACAGTTTATAAAAGTTTGAATATAAAAAGAAATAATTTATTTGAAAAGGTTTATAATTAAAAGTGCATTTTTTTTTCCAATCAATTAAAGGTTTTAGAATTTTTATGGTTAAGCTATTGGGAAAAAAAAATCTAAATTTAGGAGTTATAAATTCAAGAGCTTACATAACCAATAGTTTCCAAAAGGCAAATATGTTAATCCACACTTGCTTAAACTCTTTGCTTAATCCACATCTCCCCACAAACCTCCTCTCGCACTTCTTTAACCTCAAACAAGACAAAGCTCCTTGCTCACACTTTGTTTACCTCAAACAAAAAGCTCCTCACTCACACTTCCTTTACCTCCAACAAGAAGAAGTTCCTTACTCATGGTTTCTATATTGTAGGATCCCAGTCTAAGTCCTCGATCAAATGCTATCACCACCATCTAAGTATTCCTTCCCCCTCGAGCATGGTCGTTGATTGAGCTACTGTCAACTGTTTCAGGGCCTGCCATACCACTCAAATCCTCCCCTACCTTGTCGTCCATTGCCATCAGTATGTCTTGCTCATCACCCACCAGCAGCAACATATCATGCAGCCTACATTCCTCTCCAGGAACACTACAAACCACACCTCTATGTTGCCATCCTCCCAAGCTGGTGATGGAGCCGTGAACTCTGGTGTCCAAACCCTCAATCTAACTTGCTCTTTATCTAGTTCCACTTTTCATTGCACCGCCACAAAGTCCCTAGGTTTAAGACACCTCTTGCACCTTCAATTGAGATTGAGGGGTGGCTGGGGAGTTGGTAATTGCATTTGAGATCGAGGCCAAATTGGAGCGGCTGGAGAGATCTATCCAGGAGGCTGGATACAAGCCCGATGATTTGCAGCTGGGTGAAGAAGAGGGCATCACATCTTCACAAGGCTCGCGATAGCGGGGGATGATTGCGATGGCCAATGCCACGACGTTGTGGAATGTGCGAGTCTGCTCTGATTGCCACGCCACCACGAAGATCATCGCTAGGATCTCTAGCAGAAAGATCGTGGTGAGGGGTTCTAGCCGATTCCACTACTTCGACAAGGATTGCTTGTGCAAGGGTTATTGGAGAGGACAAAAAACGAAGAACCCTAAAAACAGAGCACTGCGCGAGAACGAAGAGGCTATTCGATCGATCGATTCTAAGATGAGATGGATCAATTGACTCGGCGGCATTTCTTGCGGATCTGGCCGCTGGTGCCGGTGAGCGGGCTGATGTTTCCCATCTTCACCATGGCGCTAGCGAAATCCGCGAAGAAGGCGCCTTGATCGTCGCGGTACCTGGTGACGATGGCGCGCGTGGAATTCGGCCCGGAAGTGGAGTAGAGCACCTGATCGGAGTTGAGCAGACCCACACTGGCGTGGAGATTGTGGTAGTAGAGATTGTCGAAGTGGAGTGGAGTGTGGGCGTCGAGCGGCGCGACGACGTTGTTGCCGTGGAAACGCGGGCATTTGGCGCGGAGATCTTCCCAAAAGTGTGGCTGGAGCGTGGAATCGGGGCGCCCGGATCCAGAGAAGTTGTAGAGGCGATCGCGGAAGCTCACGCAGCGGGAGAGGCCGATGGTGTGGGATCCGGAGAGCGCGACGAGCTCTTGCGCGTTGAGACCTTTGGCTTGGAACTTGGAGAGAAGGTTCGCGAGCGTGGAATTCGGTGGTGGGATCTCGTTGTTGGCGGCGCTCCGGTTGGCGGTGGTGCTATCGCGGCGGCCCAGTTGCACCGCCCAGCTCGGTCCATCCAGCTGTTAGTCCGATCGATCGAAAGATCACTGTTTGAAGTGTAAGAAAGTTCTTGGCATTCTTACCAGGACGACTGATTCGCGGGCGAGGATGGCGAGAATGTCCGCGCACGATACCACTCCCGGGCACGATTTCTCCACTGCAAACTTTGCTCGATCCACCACTCGAAAGCCCCTCGCGGATCGGTTGTTTGGAACCGCGCCTTTCTCGCCAGTGAAGCTGGGAGTGTCGTCCAAGAGCAAAGAAGCATCGCATCCCTGCATGGACAGAAGAAATGGATATTCCAAGGATTGAGCACTACGAAAGAGACACTTACATTGACGAAGCAGTCGTGGAAATGCAAGCGTAGCAGCGACGCAGCGATCCGGGGCTCCTTGGCGATGGCTTTCTGGAGCACGGCACGAACAGTGGGGATCAAGGTTGGGCAGGATTTGTCGTAGAAATCTGGAGTGAGCTGCGCTGCCGCACAAGAGAACAAGCACAGTAACGCGCAAGGCAGCAGCAGCAGCAGCACCACCACCATCGACATGATCGAATCTCTCCGGACTTGGAACCGATCAATCGTCGAGCTAGAGAGAGGGATGATCCTGTTCTTGCACAAAGAAAGTTTCGGTTTTTATAGCGAGACCCGGTCTGATCTCCGGTCCCATCCACTCGACCAAACCCATAGCCGAGAGAGAGAGAGAGAGAGAGAGAGAGAGGGGAGCACCGCAAGCTTGAGACGTCGCCGCGAGCGATCAGCCGCGTCAAAATCCATCCAAAACGAAGCGCGCCAACCGCGATCTCGATTGACGACGCTTGCGACCAATCCATTCTCTCCAGCTTGTGAGAAACTTCTTCTTTCTGTTCGATCTGCTCCACTGTGACGAAAGGTGAGTCGTAGCGAGCGAGCGATCGCGCGGCCCCGTACTGCACGAAACGATGCCCCACGAACAGACAAGGATCCCCAGACACAAACTTTTTTAAATGGAGAAGCCGCGCGCGAACTCCCATACAAACCTAAGGAGTTTATTGTCTGGAATGGATGGTTTGCTCGAAGGTCACCATAGAATTTGGTCGTAAGACTCGACGTAGGCTTTTCCAAGTTATACGTCTTTGTTCTTTAGGTGGTGTACGACCACATGTTGGCTATCAGTGAGTAGAAAGCACTGCTAGGCACTGACGGATAGCTTGAGTTCTTCTTGCCATCGTCATGGTCGAAAACTTTGCCATTGTCTCGCGAGAGATTGCTTCTCGCGTAGCCTCCCAGCAAGCACGTCCACTCTAGGTCGCTGGGCACAAACGGCATGTTTTGCATGGCATCCTGGGCATCTCGCGAGTGCGCAGATCGGGCAAGCAGATCCACCACGCCAGTGTAGTGATCTTTAGAAGGCTCCAGCCCAAAGTCCACCACCATCGACATCAGAAACTTGCGAGCACTCGAAACCTTTCCGGCATGGCTGCAAGCGATGAGCAGCGATGTGAAGCACGAATCACTTGCGCGGCCTATCTTCACGTCGCCACCATTCGTGATCATCGTGTGAAATGTGAGCATCGTCGCTGATTCCAGTTTGTTGTAGGCATAGCCCGCGATCATGACGCTCCACGCAAGTCCATCTCTCTCCGGCATGGCATCAAACACCGCCTTGGCCTGATCGATGTGCCCGTTCCATGCATACGCTGTCAGCATTGCCGTCCACAGCGCTGGGTTCCTCTCGGGCATTCCTTCCAGGGAATGTCTTGCCTCGTCAAGATGCCCATCAAGCCCATACAGTGGTAGCATCACTGCCCAGCTCACAGCGTTTTGCTCGGGCATCTCTGCTAGCAGCTTCTTGGCCTCCTCCACACACCCGTTTCTAGCGTAAGTCTGGAGCATCGACGTCCAGGAGATCAAGTCCCGGAGAGGCATTGCCTCAAACAACCTCTTGGCTTCGCTCAAGCACCCACACTTTCCATACACGAAAAGCATTGAGTTGAAGGACGGAAGGTCCAGCTGAGGCATCGAATCCAGCACACGCCTCGCCTGCTCCAAATCTCCAGCTTGAGCATATGCAGCGAGCAACGAGCTCCATGAGAGCACATTCACTTGCGGCATTCGATCAAAAGTGGCTTTGGTCTCGGCGACGTGATGCCGGCTGTAGGCGGCGAGCATGGCGTTCCACGCGATTAGATCTCTCTCAGGCAAGCGATCGAAGAGGAGCTTGGCGTCCTCCAAGCGATCGCTCTGAGCATACGCATGCAAGAGTGTAGTCCACGAGACTAGATCTAGTTGCGGCATGGAGTGTAGAATGATCCTAGCTTCGTCAACCCTCTCACACTGTACGTAGGCCATTAGGAGCGCATTCCAAGCAACTAGATTTGTTTGAGGCATTGTGTCGAACAAGGCTTTAGCGCTTTCCAAATGCCCGTGCTGGGCATAAGCGGCAAGCATTGCAGTGCAGGATATGAGGTCGTGCTCTGGCATTTCTTCGCTAAAGACTGCCCATGCATGCACGAGACCTTTGCTCTCAATAATGGTTCCCAGCATTGTCGTCCATGACACGATGTTCCACATCGGCATTGCCTCAAACAAGTCCTTGGCTCTTACAACATGCCCTTCACGGGCATATGCAGACAAGAGCACGGACCAGGAAACAAGATCCTTTTGTGGGAGCAAGTCGAAAGCCCTCTTTGCTTCGTCTCGAGATCCATTCTGTGTGTAAGCAGCCAAGATTGTGTTCCATGAAACAAGACTATGCTGGGGCATAGAATCAAACACTTCTTCAGCCTCCACAAGATGGCCTGCTTCGGCAACTGCACGAAGAAGAATGTTCCATGAAACGACGCTGGGCTGTGGCATCGCGCGGAAGAATTCTCGGGCCTGGTCGAGCTGCCGGTTGCTGGTGTAGGCTAAGAGCATCATGTCCCAGGAGAAGGAATCATTTTTTACTTGGTTCTTGTCGAAGATCTGGCGTGCCAGGGCGGGGCTTCCACACCTGGCGTACATTTCAATCAGCTTGTTTGCGAGGAAGGAGTCGGAGCTTGCGGAGAGAAAGGAATGGGCTGCCAAGTGAATCTCTTTTGCATCATTGAGCGTTCTGCAAGATTGAATGGCTTCCACAAGCTGCCTCCTCTCCATTCATCATTAAAAATTTCTCTCGAGTTTGAGACGTTGGAGCAATAAAGTAAATCGACCCTATAGGGTTTTCCTGTTCAGATTTTCACTTGTAGCATCTCTTCTTATTTGTCTCTCTCCCCGGGACGTGATGGAGAACTTCCAGAGCTCCAAATGATCTATTGAAGATCATGAAAGCATTAGAGAGCCTTTGAAAGTTCTCCATTGCCTCTTGGGAGGGGAGACATGGACATGGACATGGCGGGTCTTCTTTGCATGCTTCATGAAATCCTTTCTCTCTCTGTTTGTTCACCCGTGTTCTTGCTCACAATAAATTCGGACAGCCCCTCTAGTTTTCTATCTGAGAATCAAAGAAAATGCATTCTACTTTTTTTCTTCTTTTAATCTAAAAGGATTCACTTCACAAAATCTTAGTACTTACTTGGAAGAATGAATGAATCAAAGGCTAAAAACGCTACAGCAACTAAGACCCTGCTTCAGTACTTGTGATTGACGAACCGGCACTCCTTCCTGATCTGGCCCTCCGATCCCAGCAGCGGCTTGATGGCAGCCATCCTCACCATGGACGCTACAAACTCCTGGAAGAACTTTGCCTGGTCGTAGGCAAATGCCGTAACCAGTGCGCTGGTGGGAGCATACGGCGCAAACAGCACCTGGTCCGACGTAAGAACACCCTTGTGAAGCTCCAGATCGACGAAGAAGTGATTGTCAAACTTGGTGGGAGTGACGATGTCCAGAGGCGTCGTCTCCTGCGCGTTGCCTTTGGGAGGACAAATGTGCTCGAGGCTGCGGAGGAGCGCCGGGTCGATGCTCGGATCTGGCCGACGAGTTCCCGCAAAGTTGTAGAGGCGCTGCCGGAAGCTGGCGCAGCGTGACACGCCAATGGTGTGAGAGCCCGTCAGTGCCACCAAGTCCACGATGGACAGGCCCTTCTTGGCAAATGCGGCGATGAGCTGCGGAAGCGTCGAGTTGGGAGGCGGGATGTCTCTGTTGGCCAGGCTGCGGCTCGCAGTCAGGCTGTCTCGACGACCAAGATGAACTTCCCACGACGGGCCTCCAGTCTGATTCATGCCACACAGAAAAGAAGTGAGATCAAAGATTAGTATCGAAGTACGTACCAGGACGACCGAGTCCCGTGCAGCAATGGCGAGAACGTCGGCACAAGAAACAACACCCTCGCATTCCTTCTCCAGAGCTGCCTTGATCTCGTCAATGACTTCGAAGCCACGAGCCGAGTTCCTGTTGGGATTGGCGGTCTTTTCTCCTTTGAAAGTATGCGTATCGTCCAGAAGTATGGAAGCATCACATCCCTGCAAGAAATTCACATCTTATTCTCATAAAAAACAAAGAAAAACAAAGAAAAAAGAATGCAACAACTTACCAGAACGAAACAATCGTGAAACTGAAGCCTGAGAATGTTTGCAGCAGTTCTGGAATCCTTTTCCACGGCCTGCTGCAAGACTTCCTTCACGATAGACTCGGCAGCGGGGCACTTCTCCTTGTAGAAGCCAGGCCGCAACACAGCAATTCCCATCTCCGCAGAAGTAGCACCACCGGGAAATGGAAATGGTCGTCCTCCTGGGAATGGAAAACCCCGTCCTGCTGGGAATGGAAAGCCTCCCACGCCAGGCCTCGGTATCATGCCACCGGGAAGTAAACCCGGGATGGCTGGAAACTTTGGAACTTGCTCCTTCGGAACTACTGGATACTCCGGAACCTTTGGCACTTCGGGGACCGGCTGCTTGGGAAGAATCTCGGGAACTACTGGATACTCCGGAACCTTTGGAACTTCGGGGACCGGCTGCTTGGGAGGAATCTCGGGAACTACTGGATATTCCGGAACCTTTGGAACTTCCGGGACCGGCTGCTTGGAAGGAATCTCCGGAACTACTGGATACTCCGGAACCTTTGGAACGGGAACTTCTGGAACTTTGGGACCTTCTGGCACTTTGGGTGGAATTTCTGGAACTGTGGGTATTTCTGGAGGAACCTCCGGTACCTTGGGAATGATTGGAACTGCTGGAACTTTGGGAACCTCCGGAACCTTTGGAACTTCTGGAATGACTGGAACCTCTGGAACCTTTGGAACTTCTGGAACGACTGGAACTTCCTTCGGCGGGACCTTTGGAACGATCGGGATCTCTGGAATCCTGGGGATCTCCGGATCTTAGGAATCGGAATGGTGATCTCTCGTATCTCTTGCGCGCCACTAGCTCCTGGAAAGAATCCATCACCAAGCTGTGGCGGGATAAATCCTTGGAACCCGCAAATCCCCCTCATCCACTGCCCAAGGAAAAGAACGCGTAGCGGGACGAGAAGAGGATCCATGGCTGGAGAAGAAATCTCGCAGCAATCCTCTGGCGCTTATATAGCAGCTCCATTCTACCATCGTAGAAATGCGAGAAGAAATCACCGCGGGAGATTCCTTCTCCCCTACTAGCGAATAGCTAACCCTAACCTAATCGCGCCCAGAGGTGAGAGATGATGTTCGTGGTTGCGCCATTGCTCTTCTTCCTGGCATCGCTGCCTCGATTGTCCGCCGCTGACGCCATTCTCCCCAGCGCCGAGGTGTCGCGATTCTTGGAAGAGCATGGCCTTCCCGGCGGTCTTCTCCCCAATCTGGTCACCAGCTACTCGCTGCGCGACAACAATTCCACATTCGTCGTCCATCTCCAGCACGAATGCTACCACCGCTTCGAGAATCTGGTGTGGTATGGCACTACCATCTCTGGGAAGCTGGGCTATGGCAAGATCGAGAATCTATCGGGAATCCAGGCCAAGGAGCTCTTCCTGTGGCTGGGAGTGACGGGAATTCGCGTGGATGAATCCAACCGAGACTACATCTACTTTGAGGTGGGGATTGTGTCCAAGAGGCTGCGCGCATCGCTCTTTCGAGATCCACCATCGTGCTCAAAGTCTAGTGGCTCTCTTGTGGATCTACACGAGGCAATCTAGAGTTTTAGTTCCTCGTCTTCTTCCTGGTGTACGTATAAGTGCTCTTTCAAGAGCCTCCATCGTGCTCAAAGTCTAGTGGTTCTCTTGTGGATCTAGATAAGTTTAATCTAGAGTTTTGGTTCCTCGTGTTCTTCGTGTTCTATGTATCTTTTTGTTATTAAGATAATTCGAAGTGTCACACTCTTGGTGTTCTTGGTGTCACTTTGATCCATCGAGAAGAAACGAACTAGAAGATCGAGGATTGCTCCAGCCTCCGTCTCTCCTTTTGCCTCGCGCGTCGAGCTTTTCTCCTGAGCGTTGCCACCGACGGCGGCCTCACCTCCTCGTCCAGTTCCACGTAGTGTTTCTCTGGCATAAGACTACCATCCCACTCTATCACCGCTTGAGCTCCTCCATTTCTATCCCAGTGTTCTTGCTCACTGAAAGTAGGCTTCTTCTTCTTCCGCTCCATTCTCTCCTCTTGCTTTTCCTTCTCCAGTCCTTGCTTCTCGTGATATGGCCGCTCCTCCTCATGAACTTGCTGCTGCCCATCCTGGATCTGTTCTAGTGCTTGACGCTTCTTCTTCTTCTTCTTCTTCGGGTTCTCGGAGAGCTCAGAATTTTTGTCCTCCGCAAAAACCAGCTGGTTCTTCTCTTTCCTCTCGGCCACCAAAGTTTCCTTTTCCACTCCATCCGGTTCAAGCCCCTTCCGTTTCTTCTTCCGTTTCTTAACGTGCTCTACATTCTCTTCTTCTGCTTGAGGCTGCTCTTGCCCCTGCTCCACCTGAGCTTCTCCATCTTGTTCTAGCTCCTTACGCTTCTTCTTCCGTTTCTTAACGTGCTCTACATTCTCTTCTTCTGCTTGAGGCTGCTCTTGCCCCTGCTCCACCTGAGCTTCTCCATCTTGTTCTAGCTCCTTACGCTTCTTCTTCCGTTTCTTGACGGGCTCAGCTTGAAGCTGGTTTTCCCTTTCGTCCTCAATATGCTGCTGCTCTTCCTGTTCGACTTCCTTCCGCGTCTCCTTCCGGTTCTTGACGACCTCGAGACTCGGTTGAAACGGATTTATCTCTTTTTCCGACAAAGTTCCCTTCTCCGAGCACTGTTCTTGCTGCTGCTGGTCCGTCTGAGTTCGTCCATCGTACTCCAAACTCTTTTGCTCTGCTTGAAGCTGGTTCGTTTCCTTTTCCCCCTGGATTTGTTTCTTCTTGCCTGCAAGCTTTACTTTCACTGGCCACTCCCGCTCTTCTTGCTGCTCGTGCTGCGCCTGAGCCCCTCCATCCTGGACTAGCTCTTGTTCTGTCTCCTGGCTTTCGGACTTCTTGCGTAAATAGTTCTCGGCCTGAAGCTTCTCAGCCGCGAGAGTTTGGTTATCTTGGGCCTGCTCCTGTTTTAGCTCGACGAGATTGAGGGGTGCTTTCTCGTTGTTTGTCCCGCAGACAGCTCCGGTAGATCCTGCCTCCAATTGCTGCTGTTCATCTGACACTTTCTGGATATGTGCTTGCTCGCAGTGCTCTCTACTTCTCTGCTGCTTATCGCCCATGGATTCATTGTTTGCCTGGTTATCGCCCGCCACCTTTTCTTTCTTTATCTGGCAGACAGCCTCCATAGGTGCCTTCTCGCATAGCTCGTTTTGTCTCTGCGGCACCGCCGTGGACTCCTTGTTTGTCTGACACGAAGCCCCAGTGAGTACTTTCTCGCAGTTCTCGTTTCCTCGCTGCTGGTTCATTTCTGTGGCTTCGAGCTCGCCTCTTCTCTTCTGCAGCTTATTCTCCGCCACCTTTCCTGTGGACTCCTTACACGGAGCTTCTGAGGCTGTTCTCCCGCAGTGCTCTCTTTTAGGCTGCCGCATCACCGTCGACTCATTGTTTGTCTCGCAGCGCTGGCTACCCATTTCTCTTAATTCCTTGTCCTTCTGACAAGCAGCACTGGCTGCCGGAAAAGATGGACCATTTTCGAGCCCTTCACCACTACCATCCGGCTCCATCTTCACGCGAGTTGCAGCAGCTTGAGTAGCAACCCGTTTCTCGCTGGCTGCGTTTGCAGCATTCTCAATCTTCACTTCGGCTCGACTAACTTTCGCTCGATTTTCTTGCTTTTGGAGCTCCTTCACGCCATCCACCGAACGGACACCCGGTTGTCGATCGCCATGGTGACGCTCTTTCTCCGCGTCATGTCCGTCTCTCCGATCACCACCACGGTGACATTCTTTCTCCCCGTCATGTCGACTCCTCCTCGCTTCTTGATCATATATCTGGCTTGGACGAGCCTCCTCATGTCGGTGCTTCTCGTAGTTCCTGTTGTACTTAGAATCCTCCTGTCGGTGCCTCGCTACTTCGCTACTAGGACCTGCGAGCAAGTTTTACACATTTACATCAGGATACTATTTACACTTCGCTTACCCTCAGAGGTCACGTTTGATGGCCTTTCCAGCAAGTAAGGAAACAGGCCAGCTTGCTCTAAGCGATGGAACAGACTTCTTCTATATGCACTACCTGGATATGAATCAGCATGAAGAGACAATTTGTGCCAAGAAACGATAGCTTCTACGTACATTTTCGGATTGAATCAGACAACAAAATGCAGCGGTCCCGAGCTTTTGCCAACGCGATCAGTATCTCCGCCTCTGCAATCTACAAGTACCAGGCATTATTTAGAAAACATGCTGTGAAGCATCCTACCCCGGCTGCATCATCTGCAAACATAAAAGTTGGGTTACATCGAAAACAAAAACCAAAGGACGAAAGCATGAGAGCAAAGCATACCGATGAGCACCAGATCGAATTTGCAGTTCCATTTCTCCAGATGGAAACTATCACTGCAGGAGAGGGTGGTGCAAACAACGGATGCGTTGCTCAGCACGTTTTCCTCGGCAATATAATACGAACTGTAGGCCCGCTGTTCACTGATAATGATGCCCTCGAGGGTCAAGCCATGGCAATGCCTGTCGATCTTTTCCATCGGACCAACACGAACGATTGTTCCCCGGCGAGGAACGTAGGCCTGGCCATCACTGTCCAAGAGTCTGCTTGAGAGACTCAACGCTATCTGGTCCACAGCATTGTTGTATGGTGCGCACACAAGTATCTTCGCACTAGAAACACAGAGAGACCCTTGCATATAAGATCACACAAAAGAAAAACTTACTATCGGGTCGCACACAATGCCGCAGACACAATTCCTGGAAAAACGTAAGTAAGCAACAGATCAATGCAAACGTAGTCGACTTACCAACAATTGTCTCTCTCTGTACAAGGCAGAACGAAGAAGAGTCAAGTGTTACTCCAGCGCAAAAACAAAAAGAGAAGAAACGAGCCCCTTACCCGTAAGTTCAGCCGTCCTTTGGAAAGCACAAAGATTAATAGTCTGGACTTCTCTAGCTGTAAAACAAACCTTGAGCAAGAAGAAATCCTTCCCGGAGATGCACCGAGGCCGCCACAACGCGGCCTTGTTCGTGGTTCAACCTTAAACCAGCGAGCCAAGCACCTAAGTGTACCGCTTCCGGCCTGATGGTATTCAGAGGGCGCACAAGTTGATCTCTTAGTCGTGGCGAGATATTCTCCGCTTTAGACACCGAGAGGAAGCACCGACGGAGTGTGGCCGTGGTATCCAAAAGGAAGACATCATACTGGAAATGTAGAAAAAGATGTTGTAGTTCCAAAGAACCGAAAGTTACCTTTCCTTTGACGGGTTTTGTGCCATGGTGTGCTCTCAAGATGGTCCGATCGTTGATGACCCCAGTGACAATGCCGATCGCCTTGAGCACACCAGCGCGATCTTGCACAGCAACGATTTGCGAGGGCTCAAACCGCGACTGGGAACCCAGCACCTCGATGTGGCAAAAGAGGCCGCGAGTTGGATGCACGGTCACCTCACAGTCGAGAGCATTCACTTGTTTCTCACACCCTGTAAATCGCGCATGAGAAAACCACGTTTCGTTTCTCTTCCCTGAAAGCCCCAGTACCTTTTTTGAGCAGGAGATCCGATACCCGTGAGTTGCATTCTCCGAAGATCCATTTCTTGTGCTGGTGCTTGTAATCTTCAATCCCCACAAATGAAACGCGGTCGAGATCGGAGCTTGAGGAGATTGGCACCTTCCCTCCCAGAAATGCGAGAACCACGGCATCAAACTCGTCATCGGGATTCATAAATCCCACCGCTGGAACCCTAAAAGCTTGCAGAAACAGGGATTTTGCAAAACATCTTTATTCCCTTAAACATTCTGTTTAGCACTAAAATAAAAAAGGAAAATGGTTCTATAGTTTAATGGTTAGCTGAACTTTGAATCCAAAAGCTCTAACTCAATTGCTTTATCCCCAAAATATCCCTTTCAACTATAAATTATATATTAAGGTTTAAGTTAATAGAAGTTAACTTTAACCTTTTTACTAGTTTTTATTAGTTTATAAAAACGAAAATGGTTTTCGAGCAAAATGATTAACAAATTAGTCATTGAAATTTTTTTAAAATATTTGTGGAAAAATTTTTTATCCTAAAGAAAAAATGACTCTCAGTCTAGGAATACAAATTCTCAAGACTCAACTAACTTCCTCTTACCAACAACTTTACATAAGTTCACTTTAACAAATTCTTATGACTCAACAATATGTTTAAGCATCAAATATTTTACCTATATTTTCATTGACATCCGTAAAATGCAAATAAATACCCAAGACTCAATCACAAAAATCATATCATTGGATATCCATATTGCATTAATACCTTTAAGATCCAACATAAAACCAAAACATTAATAAAAAAAATGACATGAAAAATCAAGGTCTAAGGAAAATTCCTCATCACTCGAAACAATTATATTACTTCCATTAACACAATTATTAACGATGTCAATGCCTCAACTACACACCCTCTCTAGCCAAAGAATGACAGCATTGGAGCACAAAACGACTCCCAAACATATAGCTCAAGGAGCGAAGGGACAAAAGCACATAGCAACTTGGAATAGTCCAAGAACATTTAGCATCCCAATGCTAAGATTAGCATGCAAAATAGAGTTAAACAAAGTTTAACACTATTTTAGCATATTAGTGGTTTAATACGAATATATGGGTATTCCATCACTAATTAGCATGGTGTGGAACTTGGGATTAAACCTAAGCTAGATGCAAAATAAGAATAAGTATACAAGCAAGAGTTAGATTATGTTGTAAATTGGTTAGCTATATTCAACCTACCCATTATCCCTATTATACATTTGGAACCTTTATAGCCCTTTACCTTGAGAAATACACACTTTCAGCTTTCACCTTTAGCCACTTTAGAGTTAGTCTTTGGGATATGAAACTTATTAAATATGAAATGGTGCTAAATTACGAATTTGGATACGGGACCAACACCATCATATTCAGGACAATCTCTACATTTCGTAGATATACCAAATTAGCAAATTTAGACATTTTACATAAATAATAATTAGAATAAAATTAGGACTAACACAAAATACATAATAGCAAGAGTGTTTGGTAGACACAATAAACTATTATTTGACGAATATTGAGAGATCAAGCTCAATATCACAGGGGTTCCCAACACTAATAAGTGCAAGTCAACATATAAATTTCTCCTACCATGCAAAGTATGCTCATCAAGAAACACATAAGAGTTTCCATCTTATATTTATTCAGCATAAGTACATATGTGATAACCAATTGCTCAATTAACTTGGGTGGAGACTAAAAAAAGATCCAGCAATACTAACTTTCTGCTATTGTGGCAATAAAAAAAAATATCTGAAAGGATTAACCAATTTATAACTTTTGATACCTCATTTGCGACAAGCATGGATAGGAACTTTGAAGTACAATACAACAATTTGTGTGTTTTACAAAAAAGCCAAGCTTCAAACATACAATTGTCCAAGTATATCAAGAAGTTCAGGGATATGTAGGTGCATATAGTTTTCACCATTTATCCTTTGGCACTTTACCACTTTATCCCTTGGACACATGGGCCAAAGCAAAATTGGTCTTATTGAACAAAGGGATGGAATCAAACTCCCAGCTAAGGAATGAAGGAATTAAAGCACATAATGTCTGCTGAACATACAACCCAAAAAGTAGAGGAACAAACATATGAAGCAACATTAAATTAATCCTAAAGCATCCATCAACACTAGAACCAACTCTCAAAATGGAGCCAAATGCTATTTCAGCATACTGATGGAGTCAACCTTTACATCCCATGCCACCATGCAAACTACATTGCTTCCATCTCCAACAAGCTCAATCTCTTGAGAAAAGAGCAGTTGGAGCAACAATACCCCCACCAAACCAGCATCCTTTCTGCCTTATTCCTTCACCAAAGTCCAACAAGCTTCCCATCTAGTGGCCCCATATGTGGAGGAGCAACGTAAACCACACCCAGCTAGCCAAAGTGAAAGGTGGCCAGAACTGGGTCCACGTTAAAGGCTCCATATGGTTTCCGGGAGGAGGGACACACTTCAAGCATGGAGCTCCCGAGTACATCCAGAGGTAACACTTTTCTTCTCTCTTTTGATCCATTGATCCATCAACTGTAGACAGGCTAGGAAACATGACCACGGATTGGAAGGGAGATTTACAGACTGCTGGAGTGGCTCGAGGTTTGGACATTGGCTGCAGAGTTGCAGCTTATCTCTTCAACCTCGACATCCAAACCATGTCGTTTGTGCCGCTTGACTCTCACGAGAATCAGATCCAGTTCGCTCTGGAACGAGGAGTACTGGCTCTTGTTGCAGCGCTTGGAACCAAGTGCTTGCCGTATCCTTCCAGATCCTTCGATGCTGTTCACTGTTCCCACTGTCGCGTCGATTGGCACGAAGATGGTAAGCATTAGGTGGAATCTCGTACATGATATAAAAATTTCCTTTCTCGTGAATCTGCAGGGGGTATTTTGCTCAGGGAAATGGACCGGATTTTAAGACCTCATCTATTCTGCACCTCCAGCTTATCGCAAAGACAAGGATTTCCCCGAAGTTTGGAACATCCTGACCAACATTACAGAATCTCTTTGCTGGAAGGTGATCGCACGGCACGTCCAGACTGCGGTTTGGAGAAAGACCGCCAGGTCCTGTCAGCTCGCCAAGTCCAAGCTGTGCGCTAACCAAAGCAAGGAGTTTCTAGACAACTCGTGGAACAAGCCACTACGACTGCATTGCCTTGTCTGAGGACAATGATTGCCAATTTCGTCGATCTTCCTTCATGGCCGGAGCGGCTTACAACTTACTTAACTAACTTTGCTATGTACTCCAGTATGTAGTAACGGGATTTCTTATGCATAGGTATCAGCTCATCTTCTTTCAAAGAAGACACATCTCTCTGGAAGGCAAAGTTGGAGACTATTGGAAGCTGCTTAATGTATCCGAAAGTTCCATTCGGAACGTTATGGATATGAATGCTGGCTACGGAGGCTTTGCTGCTGCCTTGTTACTACAAAACAAGCCCGTGTGGATCATGAACGTGGTTCCATCGGAATCTAGCAACACTCTCAACGTTGTGTACGGTCGAGGCCTCGTAGGCACCTTGCATAGCTGGTACATAGGCTTGCTCTTATTCACTTGGCTTCCTTCTCATTTTTTGCATCCACAGGTGTGAAAGCTTTTCGAGCTACCTGAGGAGCTACGACTTGTTGCACGCATATCGCATGATGTCCCTCTATCCAGGGAGAAAAGGGTGCCAGATCGAAGATATAATGCTGGAATGGATCGGCTGCTGAGACCAAATGTAAATTTTCTCATTTGACTTCTGAGAGTTGATTCTAGCTACTACGACACAGGCTCTTGCAATCTTTCAAGATTCCTCACGTGCGGTGCAGCGCGTTGGCCCGAGTCCATCACATTCTTGAAAATGATGAGCAGCTTCTTATATGCTCTAAGAAGTTCTGGATCGTCGACATGTAAGGTAGAGTATGGTGATGATTAGTCTTCGAAGTTTTCCAGAGAAAGCACTGTGGTGACAGTATCAACAGGGTTGTCAGTATTCTCAGGCAGACACAACGATTTCGTTTAGGAGCTATTATAGTCCAGCAAAGGTCGTAAGGGAGAGGCATGGCTTTCATATCTTGGTTAGTTTGTGCCAACATGAATCTCCAGGTGTGGTCATAGCTCCTACACCGATCAAAGCCAGTTTGCGCGAGGTAAAAGTTCGTTTTCGTTATTTCTTTTTACTCTGCTTTGTGCTACTTATGGTCCACGGGAAGATCATGTCAAGAGCCTATAGATATAGTTCAGTCTTCTTAAGACTATACTTCCAAGCCTCAAGTCAAACTCTACATTCCACTGCCATCTTTTATATCTTCCATGAGGTATCCACTCCAAGATGCAAAGGCATCATAATTTTCAAAGCCCAGCTTTGCTTATCATGTGTTCTTAGTGTGAGAAGATTAATATAGTCTCCCTAAACCTAATGCTTGCAATGAGATTACCAACATTTTGAGGCTGACAAACCTGAATTTTACAGCTTTCTTCACTACCTTCAAGGAACCCCATGGAAATATCATATGTTATTCAGAGTTTATGGGCTTTGAAACCCAGCACCTTATCCCAGTGCTCAACTGTCATGAATTCCATAGTGTACCTGCAAAAGAAGGTACCATTCAAGAATATTATGTACTTACTAATGCAAGTAATAAGTTGTGGGTGTTATGAGGGAATATAGAGAGTTGGGAGTTTGAGTGGGTTTGAGGTGGATGATAACCCAAAGTTGCTGTAAGTGACACTTGTGCATGTTCTTCCACATGACTGCAAGCCCATGATAAATTCCAAACACCTATATATGTGAGTCCACCTGAACAAAGAAAAACCAAGCAAGTATTTCAGAGCTCTAAAAGTATTACTTCATTTGTGATCTTATGGGGAAGCTTCCATTGCATGGATAACCACAGTTATCTAGCCTTCATACTCGCTCTATTCATTCCTAAAGCATCCAAGTTGCAAAGAAGTCTGTGCTTTTTGGCTTTATAGTAACAATTTCCCAAGTCTGACAATAAGAAAGTATAGAGAACTTAGCCCTAGATCAAAGAGCATAGGGAACAGAGAATAGAACTATTATCTCCCATGTCCAAAGTTCCATTAGAGGCGAGCTCAAGGATCTCAGTTGACCATTGCCTGAGCAAAAGAACACTCAGCCACCAGGGGAAAGAGGACATAGATCAT